CCCTCACCCCCTCCCTCCCTCCCTCCCTCTCTCTCCTCCCCTCCCTACCTCTAATAACTGAAGACAATGATCCAAAGCATCAACGTCATGTATTTTAAGAAAAATAACTAGATCTACAGAGCACCAACATGCCAGTAGATTCATATGAATGTACAGCATCCAGCTAAAAAAAAGAAAAAAAGAACACCCCTATCTCCTACCTGACTTGCAGCAAGAACAGGAGAGGCAGCTGTAAGCGCCCAAGCAGCTAGCAAACCACAAGCAGCATTTCTCATTTCCTTGAACGAGGAACAAGAATCCATGCAATCACGTCTTTCCAAGATTGCTGAATAAACCCAAAAAATCATTAAATTGTCGTTCATTAACGCATAACACCTCCAAATAATCCATTCGGTAAAAATCGCTCAGCCAAAAGTTCAATAACAATTAACATGTTTGGATTAGAGTTAGCTCCTGAATCCACGGAGAATAAAATCCCTTCAAATATGTACTCTTCCAACTTATCTCTAACTTCAAATGTAGGGTTTCTGCTTCCGATTTTGGGCGAGTGAAAATCAATGTAAAATGAGATTAAAATATCGTACCGGCGCATTGAATGATTTGTCTGGTGCATCGAGGTTTTTTCGCTGCTGGGAAGCGATGAGACTTAGCGGCGGCGGTGGAGGAGGAGATAGCTCCGGCGAGAGTGAGAGTCGCCATTTTTTTTCCGGCTAGCAGAGCGGTGGAAAAGCGCGCTTTTCAGCCTCTGTTTTATTCTGGCCCGGTTCGTGCAGGCCGACGCAGCAATGCCACACAATTCATATATATTTGCATATCTAACCCCTAAACTTTCTTATTTACATAAAACTAATTATTAATTTTTCTGGGATAATTACATACATAACATTCAAAATATTGTTATTTACAAAATAACACTTTTTAGCTATCGAACATATGTATTTACATGTGTCACGATCCAACCATCGGGAATTTGATAAAAATAAAAGTATGTATTTACATGTGTCACGATCCAACCACACGATCCAACCATCGGGAATTTGATAAAAATAAAAAATATGGGTTGAAATTTTATAATGAATTTTGATACTTGAGTGTGAATTTAAAAATTGGATGAAAAAGGGTGGTAGATTTGTAAATAGCAATCTTTGGGTGCTATGTATGTAATTGTCCCTTTTTTATTAGTTAATGTATTGAGTGTTATAAATAAAAGTATGTTGGTTTTTTGGGTGAGTTGGTCAAGTTTTTGTGATCAATCACTTGGACGAGCTGTATGGATGAGCATTCTAACTGAATTGTCTTGTTGGATTTGTTGGCTAACTCGCATCACAGTGGGTAGAGCTTTAGCTATACATTTTTTAGGTTGACATACTCTTATCGTTCTAAGAAACATCAACTACTTGCGGCAAACATGCAGTCTCTCATAGATGCTAAGCTACATTATAAATGTTGCATGACCTTATGATTTTATATTTTAAATTACTTGTGACCATCACCCTTCTTTGTATGTATTTTCACATGTCATTTGGCTCACAAGCTTCCATTTTCTTTATCAACCTTGGTCAACATGTTATAATATCATCAAACATGTCATGCGGATCAAGTCACAAGCTATTGCAAAATACGTTGATAGCCAGCTTTTGGTGTAATCATATTAGACACTCGTAGCTAGTATTATGTTTAGTTTATTTTGTAAAACAAAGGCTAATCACACGATCAATCATGTTGGCATTGAGATTATTTGTCTAAATTCAATAAAGTTTAAGCTTGAAATAGTGAATGGGCTGATAGTAACGATTGTTGTCATATTAATCCAATTAGTACATACTCGATCGACCTTAATTTCTAAGTTCTCGTCAGATATGAATCATGTCAAATCACATGCTCATCAAACCTAGCTCATCAAGCAAAACATATTAAAAAAAAAATCATTCCAACACATGTCACTAAGACATACAACTCTTGACCCTCATTTCACTAACACTTGCTAGATGGGTTTACATGAAAATGATTTTTTTTCAAGCTCTTTGTACTTACATTCATAGCTCTTTAAATAAAATGTAATTATTGAATATAGTTTATTATATGTTTTAACAATGATGTTGTGATATTATTTGCACTTGTAAACTTTTATCTCCCAAGCAATTTTTCTATGATGAACTTATTATAGAGTTGATATCTTTGGGAGTTTAGATATTAATTGGGTGTATCTTGATATCTGAGATTAAGATGTAGTAGCAATTTCACATTGTCATAATAAAGTGCATGTAACATGCTTTATATCAAACATATATCCACTTAGGAATGAAGAGCCATTAAAGTCGTCTAGAATGGAAATTCATTTTGACAATTGTAGTACGTACATCAGCGAGGATCGCACCATGTCACCATGCATTTCATGTGGTCAGAACTCATTGTTGTCTAGACATGTGGACACCAAACAGAATAATTTCTCCTTGGAA